GATTTGAACCCGCCACCTTAGGTATATGTGGCTGGCACCTTAGCCACTTGAGCGACAGGCACCGAGCCTACATCCCTTGCTTTAAGAGACCCCAAGCCCAGAGAAAGCAAAACATTTATAGACATAAAAATTAAAAAATAAATTAAAAATTAGGCGAGGGCAGGAGGGAGAGATCGAAAATGTAGATAGGGCAGAGGTGGAGGGAACTGAGGGAAGGAAGAAAAAGCAGAAAAGTGGCCTGGGTGTTCTGGGTGTTTAGCATGGTCATCTCCAAACCCTGCCCTGTGGCAATGAGGCCCTGAATTACCCTGCGCCACTGAGGTTCCTGTTGGTTCCTGTATCACCGGGAAAGCTCAGGTGATTGACATGCTTCCTGTCAAGGACAAATCTCACAGCCAATGCCCTGTTTGTCTGAGTTAAGTTTCAGCAGTAAACTCATCTTTCTTTTCATACCAGTGTCACTCTGGAAGGCGATGGTGCATCCACGCTTCTGAAACCTTATGTTGTGTGGGGTCGACTTCCCTCACTCCACAAGTCTTTACTCAACACCGTGTAGGAACCTGGCACTATGGTCCTGAGTGCACCCATGGAGGAGGTTGCATCTGTTTTCTTTTTTGGGGGGGTGGGGGGATGCTAGCCATTGAGTTTGTGTTTTTTTTTAATGGCGTTGAAAAAAATTCTAATGAACTTTAGCCAATGTTACTTGTTGTTCTTAGACAAACAGGGCCCTGCTCAGAGCCTGCCAGGCCTAGATCTGGGCCAGTTGGATTTGGGCCAGCTGTTCCAGAAACGAGAGTTAGGGTCTCTGAGGCTCAGCCAGCGCTTGCAGCCAGCCCCTACGTGTGGCAGCTGCTCCACATACCAGCTGTCTTGTTCATGCCTTGTGGCCTAGGGAGTTAGAAAATCTTACGTATTCAGAACCTTTTACCTAATCAACATGGTCTTGTTTGAAGGCAGCCTTGGAACCTGGTGTACAAGAGGCCTGAGGGCTGAGCAGCCTGTTCCCGGGGTCCCCAGGGCACCTACTCCAGGGGAGAGCCTTTTCCCTGGACACAGGGCTTGGCCAGGTGGGATGTGTCATTTGGGCTAAAAGCAGAACATCTGATGGCAGGAAATGCCTGCAGTGACTGGGGACTGTGCAATCTGCCTCTCCATCCATAACACTTCATGAAGGCCAGGCCCTGGGGGAGAACCGTATATCATGTTTCTCCTTCCTTCTTTTACTTCCTTCCTTTATTTAAAAAAAAAAAGTTTTCTTTCTTGTTTACTGAATGATTCTTTTCCTCTGTTTTAGGAAAATTAATGTTAAAAATTTACAGATATCATCTATGTTCAATTTAGCATAAAAATCAACTTCCCGATCTATTTGTTTATCAGATTTGTGTTGAGTACCTACCCTGGGTCAGGCCTGGTCCTAAGTTCTGGGGACCTGAGAGTAAATAAAAATCGAGGTCCCTGTTCACTGCCTTCTTTCGCTTTCTCTTTAACCAATTCCACTTCCTCCGGGGTAACCACCCTCCGTGTGTTCCCTCAGGTCTTCACATTCATGTACAGAATCTGGAGTTGGCGCCTATAGCCCAACCGGCTAAGGCGGCAGCCACGTACACCAAAGGTGGCGGGTTCGAATCCCCAGCCCGGACCCACCAAACAACAATGACGGCTGCAACCAAAAATTAGCCGGGCGTTGTGGCGGCCGCCTGTGGTCCCAGCTACTTGGGAGGCGGAGGCAGGAGACTCGCTAGAGCCCAGGAGTTGGAGGTTGCTGTGAGCTGTAATGCCAGGGCACTCTACCCAGGGGGACATCTTGAGGCTCTGTCTCAAAAAAAAAAAAAAAAAAGAATCTGGAGTTGGTGCTTGGTTTTGGTTTAAATGGCTCATTCCTCTCACTCATAACTACCTCATACGAATGCCTCATCTTTTTAAATTACTGCACAGTGGTGTGCCGTGGGTATGCCAAAATTTGTGTCATCAGTCCTCTCATTAACAAATATTTAGGCATCTTCCAGGTGCTGTGCTTCACACCTGTAATCCCAGCAATTTAAGGGATTAAGGAAGGAGGATTGCTTGAGCCTAGGAGTTCGAGACCAGCCTAGGCAACATAGTAAAACCTCATCCCTAAAATAAAAAATAAGAAAATTAGCTGGTGCACACCTGTAGACCCATTTACTCAAGACGCTGAGGCAAAAGTATCAGGAGTTTGAGCTCAGGAGTTTGAGGCTACTGTGAGCTATATGACCTGTCTCTAAAACACAAATGACAAAGCACCCTAGACCTTTAGGCATCCTCAGTTCTTCCCTGTAACAAATAGTGCTGTACTGGCCACAGCCTCCTGATCCAGACACATGTTTGCCTGCTAGTGTATTTCTGTAGCAATTCCAGAAGTAAAAATTCTGGGTTCAAGGGAAATATATTTTAAATGGATGAGTAACTTCTTGGCTTTGAACTGCTAGAAATTCAACCCTGCTCTTTCCACTGGCAGCCCTGGTTTTCCCCCCCCCCCCCCCCTTTTTTTTTTTTTTTTTTTTTTTGAGACAGAGCCTCAAGCTGTCCCCCTGGGTAGAGTGCCGTGGCAGAGCTCACAGCAACTTCCAACTCCTAGGCTCAAGCGAGTCTCCTGCCTCCGCCTCCCAAGTTGCTGGGACCACAGGCGCCCACCACAATACCTGGCTATTTTTTTTTCTTCGGTTGCAGCCATCATTGTTGTTTGGCGGGCCCCGGGCTGGATTCAAACCCGCCACCTTAGGTGTATGTGGCTGGCGCCTTAGCCACTTGAGCCACAGGCACCGAGCCAGCCCTGGTGTTCCTTCATGGACATCCAGGGTGCCTCCCCACATAATTGCACTCATATCTATTGCCCACTGAGCATGGCCAGTCTTGGAAGTTGGGGAATCACAGGGACCCAGGAGTGTGAATGACGAGAAGCTGGGGGCCACAGGGCTCTCCATCCCAGCCCAGGAGACAAGCTCCCCAGTTGTGATTGCCAATGATCTAGGCTTCCATTTTTCACATTTGATCTGAGGGGCCCCTGTGACTCAAGGGCAGTTAAGCCCCTGGGTGTGTCCATATCCCTTGGCCCACCTCTTTCCTTTGGAGACATGCATACCTGCTTTGGAAAGCTTAGAGTCTTCTCACAGATGATTCTGGCACTGGTGGGTGGGTCAGGAAATTCATAGACTTGGGCAATGGGGGGCGTGGGTCCCTCTACCCAACTCTTCATCTGCTCATAGACAGGGCCTAGTGGAGGAGGGTGGAGCAGAGTGGGCACCTGGTAGATCTCCTCTGAGCAGGCAAGAGCTTCTCCCAGGCCTCGCAGGAACACAGGGCAGGGCCTGTCTGTGGCAACCTCTGTGAGGATCTGGAGGCGGTTGGCAGGGGCCAGGCCTTGCTTCCCATGGAGCAAACATTTCCACCAGCCTTCACTTTCTGGCACACTTTGCTCCAGAATGGTCAGGATGTCCCCTCTGCAGAAAGCCAGCTCGTCGGAGCAGTCGGGGCAGTTGTCATAAAGTGCCCTGGCCAGGAGTGTCTAGGGGTGGGGGAGGGAGAAAAGAATCCCTGTTAGCGCCATGGCCAGTGACCAATGTGCCAGCACCACTGAGAAACCTGAGCACAAATTCATGGCTGCTATCGGATTTTATTTCTTCCATCCCAGAGGCTCAAGGGCCCCACCCTTGCTTGATTTATTCTTTCCCATCCTTGGGATCTCTAGATAAATCTCATATCCTCAGGGAAGACTTACCTGCACCCTGAGACCAGGCTGACTTGCCATAATATGCCCTAGGGTCCAGTTTCAATGTGTGGAAACTGTGACCTTCATAGTTCCATAGTTAAGCATAACACATGGTTGAGTTGGAATTCCTGGCTGTGTAGCCTTGATTAGCTACCCTTTCTGAACCTCAGTTTCCTCATCTGTAAAATGGGAATAATGGTAATACCTACTGCACGGGGCTATGGTGTGAATTAACAATTCCTGCTATTTAATGAGAACTCAGGACAGGGTGGCTGCTACGTTACAATGATTACATTACATTGCCATTTGCTATTTTTGAGGTCACTATAATGATTTCAGCAATGAGGTATGGAGCACTTTTTGCTATTGCTCTTTTTCTTCTGACTTGGATTGGAGGTTCCAGTCTAGGTCTTTGCTCCTCTATCCCCTGCATCTGGTCCAGGCCCAGTAAACCAGCAGATGCTCAGTACATGTTTGTTAATGAGGGAATGACAAAAGACATGGGGTTCATGACTCGTCTGCAGTCACACAGCCAGGATCAAACCTAGTGTCCCTAAGTCTCTGACCCATCCTTTTCCAGTAAACCACACAGTCCCCCTAAAAATATCTTGTTGCAATGGCTGTGATGGTTAAAGCCCCATTATTTGAACTTTCCATTTTTCTTTCTTTCTTTTTTTTGAGACAAGTCTACCTATGTTGCCGTTGGTAGAGTGCTGTAGGGTCACAGCTCATAGCAACCCCAAACTCTTGGGCTTAAGTGATTCTCTTGCCTCAACCTCCCAAGTAGCTAGGACTATAGGCACCTACCCCAATGCCCTGCTGTTTTTTTGCTGCAGTTGTCATTGTTGTTTAGTAGGTCCAAGCTGGGTTTGAACCCACCAGCCTTGTTGTATGTGGCTGGAGCCCTAACCACGGAGTTATGGACACCAAGCCTGAACTTTCCATTATAATGCATGAAGGCAATTGGTTCTGCAGGGTTTTTTTTTTTTTTTTGAGACAGAGCCTCAAGCTGTCCCCCTGGGTAGAGTGCCATGGCATTACAGCTCACAACAACCTCCAACTCCTGGGCTCAAGCGAGTCTCCTGCCTCCACCTCCCAAGTAGCTGGGACCACAGGCGCCCGCCACAACGCCAGGCTATTTTTTGGTTGCAGCCGTCATTGTTGTTTGGCGGGTCCAGGCTGGGGATTTGAACCCGCCACCTTAGATGTATGTGGCTGGCGCCTTAGCCAGTTGAGCTATAGGCGCCGAGCCGGTTCTGCAGGTTTTAAAGCAGTCCCCTTTCACCTTTTATTATGAGATCCTTCAATTAAGTTCATGAACTCATCCTAGAAAAAGTGCTCCAAACCTCATTGCTGAATATCATTATGGTCACTTTCAAAGCCCTCCCCTTGGGAAGCTATCAACTGATGCCAGTGCCTAAGCCACCATTCAAAGTAATTTTGTAACTCTTTCTGAAATATTAATCAGAGCTGTAGCTACAGGGCACACAAAAACATACAACAATGATACAGAACATCACTCAGCAAAACACCACCACACATCCAGCACGAACACAGCTGTGAGACACTGATATACCAAGGTTATGAAACCTTACTGAGTTGTTTGTATGGTGCTGCCAACAGAAGCAGATGGCAGCAAGTTTATGAACTTAATTGTCAGACTTTGCATGACAACAGCTCTGATGGCTATTCCAGAAAAAGAATTCCAAAATAGTTTTGAAGGGTGGGTAGGTGCTGGCATTGGTGCCTAGCTCCCCAAGGGGAGTACTTTGAAAGTGACCATAATGATATTCAACAAGGAGGTATGGAGCACTTTTTCTAGGGTGAGTTCAAGAACTTCACTGTCAGACCTCATATATCAATAACTGTTTGTTACAGAAAAATTAGGAACTATAGAGAAGGAAAAAGAAAAATATAAAAATTTCCCATAATTCAAAGATACCTGCTCCATTTTGGTATTTATTCTTCCAGATGTTTTTTCTTTCTTCCAATTAATTGCACTCTTTGTATTCATTAGCCCTTGCACATACATTTGCTTCATAAATAAAGCAAAAATGAACAACCTCCTGTTACATTTGTAGAGAATTATTGTACTTTGTGCATCAAATATTTTTTCCTCTTACAAAAATGCAGTCCTAATAAATGCCATCTTAAACAGACAAGCAGGTCTGTGTGGATGTAGGAAACATTGCTACATGTATACCTCTCTTTTCTGTTTTTAATTTTTACTTTAAAATTTTTTTTAAAATCACTGGGGTCCTGCTTAAAGGGAAGATATAAAATTATCACTCGTATGAGTCCAGTGAGCTTACATGACTAAACTGAGAGGCAGGAGCTGAGGCAGAGTTGACAAACACTGACAGCCCTTCTGGGGGCGAGCCATCCCACCAAGTGTCTCTGTGGGCCAGCCACCTGTCCCTTAACAAATCCATGTATTGAATATGTCCAGTGCTTGAGTTTTCAGAAACACAGATTTTGGTCATGCCATTCACTTCTCTACCACTCTTCAGTGGCTCCTCACTACCCTTTTGGTGAAGTGTAAGCTCTACCCGAACCTTCGAGGCCCTGGGTGCCTTTGCTCCTCCCCAGGCCTCCACCTCCTGGGTATCACTTCCCCTCCAGCACCCATGGGCACCACCCTGTTTGAGGGCTCAAGTCTTCACACATGCTGTTTCCTTTACCCCCAAACAGTCTGTAGCTTTCCACCCAGTGAAATCCCACACACCCTTCTAGACTCATCTTAAATGTCACTTTCTTAGACAAAGGGTCCCCTGACACCCTCCCCCAGACCAAACTAGTTATCACCATTTTTTTTTTTTTTTGGTCAGCATATCTCTACATCTACTGATCACGTTTGTTTTTAATTCCCTGGGTGGGCAGACATGGGTTCAGTGTCTGTCTCCCTCCTAGAACATAAGTCCCAGGACAGGAGGGGCTAAACCCTCTTCCTTCTGAATCGCATCCTCCGGGGTCCAGCACATAACAGGAGAGCACTGGCTACTTGTTGAGTTAACGGAAGGGATGAGTAATGTAATGCCCCCATTTTCAAGTTTTTAGGAGATACAAAGTCACCCAGAACCGAGATGAGCGCTCCTATTTCTGTTTAAAGTACTGTAAGGAGGAAGCTCTCTTGATCCACTGCCCACGTGTTGGGGAGGCCTTCGGTAAGAATGACTACTGAGATGTCTGGATGATGAACAGACTCCAAGGCCTGGCTAGTCGGCACACTGAATCAGTCTCCTCAAATGCGTTAGGAGTGGGTTTCACAAAAATGTGGGAGCTCAGCTTGGGGAACCAGCAGAGACGAAGCATTAAGGGATTAGGGTTTAGAGACTTATAAAAAGTATTGATTAGAGGCCAAGAATTAGCAAAGTTCCATGTACTTTATAGATATCGTTTAAGAGGCAAATAATTTTTGTTCAGTAGGAAAAAATAGAACGATTACAATTTATTACCTCATGGGACTTTAACAGGTTCCCATCAGCCCTAAAACCACTTCTTATTATCCCTTAGTTAAATTGTCTATAAATACCTACTTCCTCAATGATCTTTGACCTGGTTTTAACACCTTATTGGTTCCCTCATTTAATCACATTATAAAATTCCTTGACATTTCATTTTATATTTGCATGAGAGTCATGATTTTAACTTTATGAAAATTATATTTCAACCATCTGTACTGGGAAGAAAGGGAAAAGATAAACACAACCTCCACAATTGCCATGACGTACCTTTAAAGCAGTTTTTTTTTCCTTTTTTTTTTTTTAATTTCTTGTTGGGGATTCTTTGAGGGTAGAAGACACCAGGTTTCACCGATTGCATTTGTTAGGTAAAGTCCCTCTGACAATCGTGTCTTGCCCCCCAAAGGTGTGGCACCTCCTTGTGACCCCACCCCCCCTCCTTCCCGCTCTCTGCTAATCCCTTCCCTACTCCTCCCTCCTTCTTCCTCTCTCTGCTCCCCCTCCCCTTGTCATTAATTGTCCTCATATCAAAGTTGAGTACCTAGGATTCATGCTTCTCCATTCTTGTGATGCTTTACTAAGAATAATGTGTTCCACTTCCATCCATGTTAATACAAAGGCTGTAAAGTCTCCATTTTTTAATGGCTGAATAGTATTCCATGGTGTACATATGCCACAGCTTGTTAATCCATTCCTGGGTTGGTGGGCATTTATTTAAAGCAGCTTTAAAAGAAAAAGCTCATCAACTGAGAAGTGCTTGCATTTGTCTGGAAACAAGATGTTGTGTTTCTCTGGACAGAGCGGTTGTTGCGATATGGCAGGGGCTCCGAAGTGTCCAGACTGCTGGCAGCTTAGCTGGTGGATTTGCCTACTCTGAAAGCAGAGATTTTTTTCCCCCAGAGAGCAATGGACTTTTAGGATTATTCACCCCAGTGAACACCCACAGCTGTTCAAGATGGAATAGTCTTACTCTTCACATATGTTTTACTTTGTACTTTTGGTGTCCTGTCTTCGGGACAACCTCTTCAAAAATTGTAAACTTCCAGGAAAAAAAAAAAAAGCTGAAAACCTCTAAATATGCAGCCCAACATGACTCCCTTCTGTATGGTGTTTCATTATAATTGTCACAGGAAGAATGAAACCCATGTGGGAGGGAAGTCTTGGAGAGTTCCCTACCTGGAAAGGAGGGAAAACAGGTCCCTATATTGAATAGGGACCTATCTGGTGTTTGGTGCAGTGAAACAGTTACATCACTTAATTCTCAGATCCTCAGAGGTAGGGTTTCTTCTCACCATTTTACAGATGTGAAAACTGAGGGTCAGAGAGATCCAATGA